TAAGTTTTCTTCCTCCTATTTAATTTTTTTTTTTTAATCTTTTACTTATTTATTCATTTGGTAAAGGTTCTCGCTACACAGTTTGAGCTCATAGTGATCCTCCTGTCACAGCCTCTCCAGCTCTGGGATTACAGGTGTGCACTTCCACATCTGCTTTTGGTGGCTGACTTGGCATACCTGGGGCTCTGAGGCCAGCACAGTGCACAGTACTGGGTCCTTGGGCTTGCTAGGCAGGGACCACTGAGCTATCTCCCCAGGCCCTTCCCCCTCCTTTTTAAAGTGATATTTAACTTTAATTTTTTTGGTACCAGGAATTGAACTTAGGGCCTTGCACTTCCCAGGCAAGCGCAATGCCACTGAGCTCTATTCCTGGCCCCTGTTCCTCTTTACCTCCATAGCAGCACCTTCTGGGTTCAGTTGGGGAGGGCAGAGGTAGCCACAAGTTGTTTTAAAGCCAGGTCACTGTGGGGCATGGTGGCACAGAACTGTAATCTAGCACTGGGGAGGCTTGCAGAAGACCAGCCTGTGCTACAAAGTGAGTTCAAGGCCAGCCTGAACTGCATAGTGAGACCCTGTCTCAAAAGACAAAATGACAAAAACAAAACACCAAAAAATAAAACAAGCCAGATCTTTAGTTTCTTACTAGGCAGAATGAACACCAACTGAGAGTGAGTGGCTGCAGATAAGCTGGATCAGGGTTTTCAGAAACACTTTCTGGACCTTCAGACTTGGTCTCAAGCTGGTTTTAATTAGCTATAAATACTATTTAATCTAGCTACACTTTGAAAATAGTTTTGATTCACTAATTTCAGAGTTTGTGAACTATCTAAACTACACACAGGAGAAGGTGCTTGTGACTTTCCTATATTCTCATTCATTACTGTGAGCACAGAGTTATTAATAGCTAGACAGGAGACAGGAGCACAACATCTTGTTCTGTGTTTCATCATTGTGTCATATAGTTTTTTTCCTCTTGCCTTAGTTTACCTATTCTTGAAAACTTCTCTCACTAGATAATTTTACTTCTGCGGGCCCTTGTCAGAAGGGAAGATCAAATGTCAGCAGTGTTGTGCTGGTGAGCATGTCTCTTGGTGTCTGCTGATGATGTAGGGTTATTTTTTGGCAAAGTGGTGTCAGTTCTCCTTAGTGCTAGCCAGAACTGGGTGGAGTTTCTTAATCTTTAGTTGGATTGGCTGAAGCAGAGCACGGTGCATAGCTGAGTTTATATTTGATCCATCCCTGTGAACAACAGAAGCCTTGTAATAAATGTAGTTATAATTGAGTATACTTGATATATAAAATAGTCATACCTAAAAAAATTAAAGGTCTGGTCTCTATGAAGTTTGCTTGTTTTCTAATAGCTAGCTGAACTGATACACTAAGTTTAAGTAGCTTGTAGAATAAACAGCCTGAGGAATCATTTAACATAACATTCTCATTTTACAGATGAGGGAACTCAGCTCTGGAAGATGACTCACTGTAGGCCACAGGTTAAACCAGTGCATCAAAAAACATAGGAGCCTCTAGACTCAGCTTTCAAAGTCTCTCATGTCCTACTTATAAATTCATTTCAGGTTAACCTTATTGTAGAGATACACGAATAGCATTAGTGGTAGGTAAGAGATTATTATTATTATTTTTTTAAGTAGGTACTTCTCTTTCACAAAGGTATGGTTTTTGGTCTTCCTAAATGTGGTTTGTGAGTGTGTGTGTGTGTGTGTGTGTGTGTGTGTGATGTAGACTTTTTAATTAATACTCTTTCTGTCTGTTCCAGAGGAATTGGAAATGGTCCTCTGAAATTCCTGGAGAAGACTAGTTAGTGACTTAGGTTCTTGGATGGTGTGTGATTAGATTTGACTGAAGCTAAGGATCTTTTCTCCCCATCAAAAAAGCAGTAGGGGCCCCTGAAATCTTTTTTTTTTAATGTATTTGGTGCAGGGTCTCACTACACAGCTTACATTCAGTGATCCTTCTGTTTTCAGCCACCCCAGCCCCAAAGCAGCCTCCCCA